TAAAAAATTGAGAAACACGAAATGCAAGTTTAACAATTTTCAAAAATTGATAGCTTGTTGGGGAAAATAATCTTTTTTCCCAGAGCTAAATATAATGTAAGCAAAAAGTATTTTTGAGAAAAGTTTTATTTTGTATCTACTTTTTCTGAATTAAAATTTATGGATTCAACTTTGATTCCATTAAATTATGAACAAAAACAAAATTGAAAAAACTGAATATAAATAAATAAATTTTCACGGATTTTGCTTTAATTAAATAATGAAGTAATCAAACGAATGAAATTTTTTCTTTTTAACAGAAATCGACTTCTATTCCTGTCAATAAAATAACAGCAATTCGAAAGAATTTGTCTAATTAAAAGTTCAGATTGTACTTTCCTTGGTTATTAATAAATTCACAAGAATTGAAAATCTTTGGTCTGACATTAACTCTCTTTTACCACTGTTTGAGAAATGAAAAAGAATTTAATTCGTTGTCTGACATTAATTGACCTTTACTACTGATAATAAAGTTTACTTTTTCCTACTAAAAACTCTATTTTACGACTAATACTTAAAGTCCAAGTATTAATAACCCCGTCTTATTAAAATTGCCTTTTTCCACTAATATCGTAAATTTTTAGAATTTTTAAACACTTTGTCTGGTTGTAAATTACTTTCATTACATATATCAGACATTGCTGAAAGTTTAAATCTTTTGGAGTTAAACTAACTTTTAGTGGAGAATTTAATAAAAAGTTATGTCTGACTAAAATATGATTTTACTACTCGTAATAAAATACATAATAATTAAACATTTTGTCTGGCTTGACTTTATTGTTTAATTGACTTTATCTACTTAAAAATTAAAATTATCAGAATTATTAATTTCTTGTCTTGCAGAGATCGACTTAAACTACTTGGACAAAATTAATTAATAATTGTGTCTGACTGAACGTTGCTTTTACTACTTAGACAACACTACAAAAATTTATCAAAATTTATTATTTTTTCTGGTACAAACATATTTTTACAACTGATACTAAAATACCGGAAAATCTGTCAGAAATTTACTTGCACTACAAATTATAAAAATGCTTGACTTAAATATTTTGTCCGACTAAATACGACATTTACTACTGTCACTAAAATGAAAAAAAAATCTCTGACTGTATAACTGTATTTAACTAAGTATTTAAAAAAATTTTTCTGACGGTAATAAACTTCTATCACTAATGCTAAAAAACTGTTCAAACAGTTTTCTCTGTTCTCAAGTTTCTTTTGTCACTGCCAACAAAAGTTATGAAAGTTACTAAAATTTATTATATTCCCTGGCACAAACTGACTATTGATACTATCACTAAATTACCAGAAAGTATTGTCTGACTAAAAAGAATTTTACTACTGATTTAAAATGGACCAAGAAATTTGGTCTGACAGAAGTCGTCTTCCTCTGAGTGCCACAAAATAACATTTTGTCCATTTTTGTCTTCTGGTCACTAAATTAAAAAAATATTGTCTGTCTAATACGGAACTTTACTACTTAAAAAATTACTTACTTTACTACTTACAAAATTACTAAAATTAAAAATCTTGTCTGAAAGAAATCGTCTTTTATTACTGTTTGAGGGAAAAAATTATCTCTCTCTTTTTTACAGTTAGTTACACTTTCAAAAAAAAAAAAAAAAAAACTAGTCGGCAAAATTTGAATTTATGATTGACAGTTCCCAATGATTGTAATTTTCCAGCAATCGATTCCATTGTGTCATCGAACTTCGTTCTCGGCTGTGTGTGATCACTCACTTGTCTAATTAACGGGCATCTGTCACGTGCCAAGTGATGCGCATTGTTATATCCGGAAAAGGGGCGGCGACACTATTAACCTCGCGAATTTTGAAGGGTCTCTAAGGGTCTATATATGGGGGGTATACGAGGGTCCTAGAACTATCACACTAAGGCACCCTTTCCCTCATCTCTCTTTCTCTTTACGTCTACCTACGATCATAAACTTTAACTCTCTGACTGTAATATGGAGCACTTTTCATAATTGCTCCCATTTTGTTTCAATCTCTATTTAAATTTGTCTATAAAACTTGAAAAATTTTTTAAGTGAACATTAAAAAAATATGAAAAGAAAAAATTTAATTTAAATTAAATTAAAAAATTAATTAATTTTAACTAAATTAGATAAAAAAAAATTAATTTTAATCAAACGCATTTGCTCAATGTTTTTTATTTATATTTTTACTATTTTTAGTGGATATTTTTTATGTTTTATTTATTTATTAGAGGCTGTGACGCCCCCTCTATTTATTTTATTGATTATTATTACTAAATAATATATATTTATTAGTAATAAATTATTGCTTTTTTGTAACTATATTATTGCATTCTAGAAACAGGGATTTTATTGTAAAATTAAAAAAATTGTTTTTTTGGGGTTGTCGGGAAAAAATCGATTCTCAATAATGATGGAGGTCCTTTTTCTGTACACTACTTCCTTTCTTGCGAACGTTACCTAATTTGTCCTTCCTTCTTTAAATTCGTTTCCTTCAATTTAAAAGGGATAAATGCTCATAGGCTGAATTTCAATGCCTTGAATGGTTTTCACTATTATGTTGCGAATAATGGACCATTGTGGACCGATCTTTAAGATTACTGATGTAAAAAAACGATTCTGCATTCATGACATTTGAAATAATAAGACTATTTGCTGTTGAATTACATTTTCAACTTCCGTGGGAAATTTTTAAATCTCGACGTCGACTGCTTTATATTCAAACAATATGAATTTTAAGTAAACAAATAAATAAGTAAAGTTCTGTGTAAATAAACAAATTAATAAAAAAAGAAATAAATTCACAAACGAATAAATAAACAAGTAAATAAATTAACAAATATACAAAACAAATAATTAAATAAACAAACAATAAAATAAGCAAAAAAAAATAATAAATAACTAAATAAACACATAAATAAATTTATAAAAAATAAATAAATAGATAAATAAATAATACAAACAAATAATTGAATAAACAAAATAAAAATAAATAAATAAAAAAATAACTAAATAAATAAACCGAAAAAAGTAAATAAGTGGATAAATGCAGAAATAAGTAAATAATCATAAATATAAATAAATAAACAGATAAATAAATTAAGAAAAAATAAACAAATGATAAAACAAAAAAAATTACAAATATATAAACTAGCAAATAAACAACTAAATAAATGAATAAGTAAATAAATACAAAAACAAAAAGATAAACAAATAAATAATTAAACAAACAAAATAGTTTAAAAAATTAACTAATAAAGAAATAAAATAAATTAATTAAAAATAATAAATGAACTAAAATGTATTTGAAAAGAGAATTATTAAAAAAATAATTTTCGGAAATTGAATACTGAATAATTATTTTGAAATGATAATATAAGGAGAAAATATTTTTCTTCAAACAGAGAAAAGAGTTTTATTTTTAAATAAAATTCTCCCGTATAAAAAAGGGGTTTTTTTTTTTTTGAGGATACGAGTCATTATATTTCGTCCTCTTGGAAAATAGGCACAGGACACGAGCGGATTATACTTGCAAAATGCTTTCAATTTGTAAGTGAAATTTTGCTTGTTCAACGACATTTTCTTTCTCTCTCTGTCTCTCTTAAAATTTGTAAAATTTAATAAACTTGTATTTAAAAATTCCATCTTTTTGCCTCACAATTAAATAAGTCTCTCCTTAAATACATAAATATAGAGATTCGTCATCTGAATATTATCTCACAATCACTTTAATTTACACTAACTTTTACTTTTTCTAAATTTAACTCTTTCTCTAAACTCTAACTTTTTACATTTATAAATTTATTTATATAAAATTACAAAATTTATATAAAATTTCAAATACATTGAAATACTTTCACGAAGATATATGTGAATCAAAATATAAATTTAATTATCAGAATTGAAATATTAATTTAAAAAACGTATTTTAAACTTAAAGAAAACATTTTTTTTGTATCGAAACAAATTTTCTTTATTTCAAATAATCAAAAGGAATTAAAAACACGAAATTGAAAAAGAAAAAAAAATACAAAAAAAAAAATTTTTATTTGGATAAAATCGATTTGGAAAATCCATTCGAGAAAACTTGTACTATTGAAGAAAATAGTATTTTACTTCTGTCTATTAAGTAAACTAATTTTTAAATATATAAAAAAAATAAAATAAAAAAAATGTTGTTGCGGAATTAATTGTTCCCCTTCTCGCGCGTTCTTGTGTAGGATAATTAACTAAAGTCGCACTTGTTCATTCAGGTTGTCCTTGTAGTACGTGAAAGTGTATATTTTTCAGAGAGAATTCTTTGACCATCTCTCTATATCCGCGAACGTTGGCCTTTGCTCGTAAATAGGAGGAGAGAAAGAGAGAGAGAGAGAGAGAGAGATAACGCCGCGCCATTAGCCTGATTAACGTTTCGCGTTACATGCGGCTTTTGCGGCACCACCTGAGCTTTTCCACGATAACCTTAAGCTTCCAGGCAGACAGTGCAAGCACGCGTAAAAGTCGCGCTTTACCGAATAAATCTGTTGCCGCTGTGAAAATTCCCCGAGTAAAATCGTCAAGGCCTCTCCCATATAATACGTTAAGCTTCAAATACGAATATTTCACTCTCTTTTATTATTTTTAAAAAATATATTATAAATCCAAAAAAGAAGTGAAAAATAAAAAAAAAACGGTAAGGAATAAAACAATATTTTTTAGGGGACCATAGTCAGGGTTGGACCACCATTTGTACTTTGTTTTAAACTTTTTTTTTCCTTTTTTTCCCAAAAATTTGTCACTAATATTGTTAATTTCTGATTACAGAGAGTATTATATTTAGACTTTGGAAATTTAAGTACCTTGGGAAAAAAAATTTCCATCTTTTGCGAATGAAAATCCTAACTTGAATGCATAATTGCTCAGTAAGCGTGAGCTTTGAATTTGAGACGAATCTAACCCTTCACTTTCTGGTGTCTTGTTACAGGTGCACTCATCCTCAAAGATGCTAGAGCTTCGAACTAATTACCCGGAAGAGGCCTACTCGAAACTTTAGACACCCCACGTCGCCAACACTCGGGTAAGTTAACAGTTGTGCAACTGTTTAATACCACATGATAAGCGCAAATTGCTGTCTTTTACACAATTAATCGAATTATCAACGCGACAGTCAAGTGACTCAATTCAAATATTCAATTTTGTTATTTTTTGAAAAAATAATTAAATAAAAGGAGAATTTCACTTTTAAATTTTATTTTTCCATTTGTAGAATAATTTTACTTTTAAAGTACTTTCTAAAAATTGACTTTTTCCACTAATAGAGTAAATTTGTAGAATTTTTAAACACTTTGTCTGGTTGTAAATTACTTTTACTGCTGATACATCAATTTTGATGAAAATTTTAATCTTTCGGAGTTAAACTAATTTTCAGTGGAGAATTTAATAAAAAGACATGTCTGACTAAAATATTCTTCTACTACTCGTAATAAAATATATAATAATTAAAAAATTTGTCTGACCGAAATTGACTCTATCTACTTAAAATTTGTAGAATTCGTAATTTTTTGTCTTGCAGAAATAGACTTAAACTACTTGGACGAAATTGATTAATAATTGCGTCTGACTGAACGTTTCTTTTACTACTTGGACAAAATTACTGTAAAAATTTTTGTCCGTCAAAAATCGAATTTTTCTACTCCTACTAAAAAACAGTTTAAAAAATTATGTCTATCTGACCCTTTGTTTTTGCTACTTACAAAATTTATCAGAATTTATTATTTTTTCAGGTATAAATTAATTTTTACTACTTATACTAAAATGCCCGAAAATATGTCTGACAGAAAGTTACTTTTACTACTAATTATTAAACTATTTGACTAAAAAATTTTGTTGAAGTGAAAACAATATGTACGCTACTGTTACTAAAATGCAAAAAAAATGTCTGACTGTAACTGTATTTAACTACTGATTAAAACATTTTGTCTGACGGAAATCGACTTTTATCACTAATTCCAAAAAAACAGTTCAGACAGTTTTGTCTGTTTTCAACTTTCTTTTGTTACTGTCAACAAAAATGATAAAATTTACTAAAATAATGACAGTTCAAAATTAACTAATTAAGAGCGAAAAAAATTTCAATAAGCCCAGTTTTTTTAAAGATATCAAATTGAGACAAAAAACGTATCAAAATTGTTGTAAAGCAACGTTTTGATACGTTTTTTGTTTCAATTTTATATCCGTTAGGAAAACTGTGAATATTTAAAAAATTTAAACTAAAAATTAAACAGTGAATAAAATTTAAAAAATAAATAAAATGTAAAAAAATAAATAAAAAGTACTCTCTAATTTTGAAATAGTAAAAATTGTTACTTTTGAATTAATAAATTTTACTAATATATATAATAATTTCCCTACTAATTTATTAATAAAATTTACTAATTCAAAAGAAAAATTTCAGTCGCTAATTTAAATCAGTAAACATTTGTACAGTTTCAAAATTTCAAGAATAAAAAATAAAAAAAATATGTAAAGAAAAAAATAAACAATAACTAAAAGTACAAAATTAAAAAATATATTTAAAAAAAATAGTAAAGTAAAAAATAAATAAAAAATAAAAAAAATAATGTTTTGTCTTTACGGTATTTCTTCCTTTAATAATTTAAACAAAAAATGAAAAAAACACCAAAATCGTCGACAATTTTCAAATTGCAAGAGCCACAAAAAACTTTATCTCTTTTACGTGAGATAAACATCTTGGAATAAGAAAGTTCCGGAAGTGCGTGAAAGAAAGAGGGAAAGAACATAACAAGCGATGGATTGAAGATAGAGAAAAGAGTGAAAGAGAAAAGGAAAGAAAGAGTGAAGTAGAAAAAGAAAGATAGTGTCAAAAGGAGAGTGAACGAGAGAGAGAAAGAGAAAGGAAGAACCTTAAAGAAAAAGATAATCTATCCTTTATCCTTACGGCTCAAGAAACTAAAGGGAGTTCTGTGATCGTAAATTTGGCACATTTCATGGTTTAAGTTCATGGGTCACGAAATTTTTCAAACAAGAGAATAGAGACTAAAGCCAGCATGGAAAAATTGAGATGGGACCGATATTTTTTAGCATTCTTGACATTCTCTATATTGAGAGGGGGTTATTCTTTTTTTTTTTTTTTGCAAACTCTAGCAGGAAAAATAATAATAAAGGAAAGTTGGGAGAAATTTTTATTTTTACGAGAATTTACGATAGAGTTGAAGGGAAATTTATTTTTATTTGGAAAAATATTGTTTTTATCCCAATTTTTGTAAGTGAAGATAATTTTGAACAGAAATTTTCCTGGTAATTTTTTTTTAAGGAAAATTTAATCACAGTGAAATATTTTTTAGAGGGAAAAAATTTTCTTCGGAGGAAAGTTATTTTTTGCTGTAAAGAATAATTTATAACTAAATTTCAATTATTTACAAATTTTTTTAATTTAATTAATTCTAATTCACGTTAATTTTGAAAGTTGATACAGAAATTAATTTAGGAGCTAATTTTAATATTAATTTCAAAAAGTTGATTTAATTTACGCCTAAGGGAAAAATTTGTAAATAAAAAGAAATTTTTTATTTGTCGCGATAGTTAGGTGGTAAAACTCTTTAAACGTCCAAGAAGCGACGTTGGTTTCGAATCCCACCTCGGATAGGATTTTTCCAAAACAGTTTTATTAGTTAAAAAAAAACTACTAATCTTTAAGTAAAATCTATAAAACTATAAATAATTTACAATTAAATTAAATAAATAAAGAAAAAAAATTATTCATAATTTATAAACAATAAAAATTATCGTAAAATAACAAAAAATGTACAAAATATTTATTTATTTATTTAAGCATAAACGGGTTTTACATGAACTTTAAATTCGATTTATTTGTTTACTGTTCATTCAATTTAATAAAAAAAATTTTGTTAATCAATTCAAATTCAAGGGATAAATTTCATGTTTTCAGGGCAAAATGTCGATGACTGGAAGTTTGATGGGTTATGAGAATAACAACGAGGTAAATCAAGCCAAGTGTAAAAAGCCACTGAAACCACTTCCGGTGGTGACCAGTGTCAACGCAAGCGGGGTCACGACTGCAACCAGGTCTAGAAAATCCAGACAATCACAAAAGAGAGAATCTTGCACGAGGTTCCATGTAAACAGCCTCTGGTCTGTTTGGTATGGAATTATAGCTGTTACTCTTCAAGCTTACATTGCCACCAGATGCGTGAAACGTTTCACAGGTAACATTATTTTTTTAAATCAAATTCGATTTTATTTTTGAAAAATCATCAAAATAAATATAAATTTGTTTCTCAATAAAGTAATAAATAAAATTAAAGAAAAAGAAAATACATAGTAATTTTTTGTTAGCAAAAATTTTTTACCTAATCTTTATTTATTAATAAAATTAATTAATTAATAAGAAATATGTTTTTTTCTACGTGGAGAAATTTGTAATTCCTTATTCTCAACATGGGAAAACTTGAGGCAAACATTATTCAAAATCAAAATCAAATGAAAACCGGTTTTAATTTAATAAAACTTTGAACAATTACAAAAGAGTTAATTACATCTTTCTCGGTTCTATTTCTAAAAATAATATTTATCAACGAAATATACTTATGGGTACTTTATACTTTTTGAAATTATTCATCCACTCAACTATACTTTGGATCTTAAATATTTGCGGGCAAGATTGAAGACGAGCAATTAAAGAAAGTAGTTGTACAAAGAAAAACGAATAGCAAGAAACTGATAAAAAATGTAAAAACTAGAAGAAAAAAATTGTAAGAAAGAGGGGAAAAAATGTAATAAAGGGAAAATGTAAAAAAAAATACAAAGAAAGAAAAACATAAAGAAAGAAAAAGATAAAAGTATTAAAAAGAAAAATATACAAAAGGGAAAAAAATTTATATCGAAAAAAGAATTTAGAAAAAAAATACAAAGGGAGAAAAATTTGAAATGGGGCAGAAAAATAAAAAATACAAACGGGGAGAAATTTTAATGAGAAAAATAAATTAAATAATTAGAAATGTAAGAAATTAAAAATAGAATAGTAGAAAAATAGAAAAGTAGAAAAATTTAAGGAGGGAAAAATTTGAAAGCGAAGGGAAATTAAAAAGTAAAAAAAATATAGAGAGAGAAAAATAAAAGGAGGGAAGAATTTTCAAGGAAAAGAAAAATAAAAAAGAGAAGTGATAAAAAGGAAAAGAAAATCGTAATGCGAATTCAAAGTAGTTCTTGGAAGTGTAGCAAGCACGTAGTCTTAATTAAAGTTTACTCAATTAAGAGGTCGTTAGTCTTAGCCCGAAGCTTTTTTCTTCTTTCTCATTTTTGTGACAATATACTCTTCTTCCCCTTCATAGATTCTAAACATAATCATTAACAACGAGACTTTCGTCACTTTTCCGAAGTTAATAAATAAACCCTTAGTCGTTATATACACTGGATCCGAGATTATCGAGGGTATGTGTGCTACGATAAGCACGAACCCTCTTGATCCTCGAGACGATCCCTAAATTCGTTGCGAATTAAGCTAAATTTCATCCTCTCATGAAACACACTTCTCGAATTTCAATGGAAAAGAATTTCTTGAGCAATTTTTTTTTTCTTTAGTGGGGAAAATACTATTCAAGTGAGATTAGACTAGAATTGGAAAAGGGCGTTACTAGGATTCGGAAAATGTTTCGCGAAGTTAACAGAATAATGCCAACTGACGAATTTTATTATTGAAACAATTCATTTAATTTTTATTTAATTATTTATTTACTTATTTAATTATTTATTTACATCTTTAAATATTTATTTACTTATTTATTTAAACACTGAAGCTTTGCTTACAATTTCTGACCGTAAGCAAAGTTTACTCAGAAATAATTTTTTTATCTTGTTTTTAATTTTTCATATTTTAATTTGACTCGATTTGAATTTCGCGCCTTATATAGTTCCGAAAATTTCCGCCCAGAGGGCATGAAAATCCTCTCGTAAACAAAATTATCCGAAAAGAATATTAGAATCAATGACTCCTCGAGTTTGTGATTCTGATTTTAACTTCAACTATAAGAAAAATAATTTAAAAAAAAATTAATTACAAATAATAATAGTAGAATAAATATTTACTAAAAAAAATAAATTTAGAATTAAAACTAAAAATTAAATTCAATACAAAATTTTATAATTTTACTTTTGAGCGAATATTGCCTACAATAAAAATTTGGTTTTTCGTTTTACAAAAAATAGTTTTTTCATTGGAGAAAAAATGTAAAAATAATTTGTTTTTCTCTTTCTTTCTTTCAGCTTATTTATCACTACCATGGCCTGTAGAAGCACCGCCGCCAAAAATGGAGATTCACGCTTGTCTGGTTTTAGTTGGAACGGGAATGTTTTTACTTCTTGTACTGCTGGCAACTGCAGTCTTCAAAGTGGGCAATCTCGCCAACGATGGAATAAAACTTGGTCGACATTTGAGTGCCTGCTCACGTGATCCACCCTCGTCCGTTCTCACCAATAATCCTGATACAGGTATAATGCTAATTTCTTCCAAAAATAAAGAGGAAAATTGTTTTTTTACATTTACTTAAATTATATGGAAAACAAATTATTAATTAATATTATTATTATTACTATTATTACATTATTATTTTTATTATTAAATTTTAAATATTATTATAAATCAAAATTTCTATCGTTAAAACAAATAGTAAATAAGTACAGTAAGCAAATAGTTTAAAAATGTAATAATTTTATTCTGACTTAAAAAATTGATATTAGCTGCGGGGCGTAAAGCATTACTTCAGGCGAAAGGGTACCAGCGTTCGAATCTCGCCTCGAGTGGCTTTTTTTAATTATTTAATTACTTAATATATTCACGTGAATATTAAATACAGTTAAAAATAATACTGGAAATATATCTCTTTCTTTATTTGTTCGCATTTAAACGGACTAAAAAATCTACTTAAAAAAAAGAATAAATAAAGTATTGTAATAGTTATGTTAAAATAAAAATTAATAAATAAATTACAACTTTTTTTATTTTCTAACGTATGTTATATAATTTTGTAATATTATTATTATTAATATGTTATAAATTTTAAATAGTCCTTATTAAAATAAAAAATTCTGTTTTAAACAAAATAATTTTTTTCTGCGAAAAAAAATTTCTTTCTTGAACAAAATAATTTTTTTCTTAAAGAAAAAATTTCTTTTTTCAAAGAAACTAATTTTTTCTGAAAGAAAATACTTATTTTCGTGGAGAAAAAAATATTTTTCAACTCTTGATCTCAATTTTTTCAGGACTGGCAAATAATTTATGGAGACATGGTGGTCCAACTGCGGCGTTTGTTCATCTTTGCACGGCCATGTGCTTTCTTCTACCCTCGCTGCTCATGGAGGCAAGACTAATCCACGCTGGATTTCTGCCAAAAGGTAATTTCCATCCTTTTACCTTGAAATAAGCTTGAACTTCATGAACGTGTCCTTGAAATTATTATTCTCTTTCAGAATCTCTCTCTCTCGATATTATCTCTATTATTATCACTGGAAAACTCATTTTATGGAATAACATTTAAAGCAAAAAGCTCATTTCTCGCATGAATATAATTTAACAAAAATACAAATATAATAATACTAATAAATATAATAATTCTATTTAATAAAATAGAAAGAGAAATTTCAAGTATAATTAGAATAAAATAAGTTTCCGAATTTTTAGTTATTAATTTTTCTAATTTTTCCTAAAAAACTATTTTTTTCCTAAAAATTGCTTCTAGTGAAAAAAATAGTTTGTAAAGTTTGCTTTTTATTGAATTGAAAAAAAATAACTTTTTTTATTACCACTGTCGATTGCAATAATTGCAATTTGAAACTCAGTGAAACATTTCATGAGTTTTGCACTCATGAAAAAAAAAAGAAACAAGTGCGACTCTTGAGTTTTTATTATTTTTCAAAAATTGTAAACGGTTCCTAACTTATTGTTTTGTGAGTGTAAATATTAAAACCTTTTTCTCTCTCTCTCTCTCTGCCTCCCCTCAAAAAAAAAAAAAAAAAAAAAATGCAACTGTTTTCGACATACTTGCATTTATGCGAGTTGTGCTTCAAGCGGTACTTGCCCCATATTTTTCAAGTGCATTCACATTTGGAGGGGGTAGAGAGAGGGGTGAGAGCAATTTCGTGTCGTGCTCGAGGCACTTCAGCATTCTGACTCATACAGAGGTTCTCCAATTTGCTAAAACGCATTCCACGAGTCCTTAATTCCGGTCAGGACTTGGGAGGAAAAATTTTATTTTTTTTTTAAAGAAAATTAGTTCATTTCCTTTTTTTAATTACATATTCCCTACATATAGTCTACTTTACACCTTTATTACTAAAGAAAAGGTTTTTTTTTTGAACAAAAAAATTTCGTGGAATAAAAATGTTCACGAAATACGCTTTTGAAATAAAAATACCCTAGTTTTGTACTAATGAAAACGTGTAACTTTAAATTATTTTTTTTTCAGTTGGTTTGGATTTTTTTTTTAATTTCCACTAAACATTGCGCTCGCTTTATTAAAAAGTAAATTAACATTTAATTAGAGTACGATTATAATTGAGAGTAAGTAAATTGGGTTACGAATTTTATTCATAAGATAAAATTCTACTTGAAGAGGGAATTAAATTTTCTATATAGATAATTAAATAAAACTTTTTTTTTTCCTTATTTACTAAACTTTTAAAAATAATTTTTGGTTTGTTATAATAATTTTTATTTTATTCGAAGCTTTTTATTTTATTTCTTATTTTTTTATTTTATTTATTTTTTATTTCACAAATTTTATTTTCTTTAAAATTCTTTATTTTACCCTACAGTTATTTTTTCTCAAAATTTTGGTTTATAACTTTAATTTTTAAATTTAATGATTTTAATTTTAAAAATAATAATAATAAAAATTAAACAAAAAGAGAAATCAATAAAATATAAATTCAGTAGAATAATGAACAAATAAAGAAAGTAAAAAGTAATTTTAAAAATGCCATCTAAGTCTAATAAATTTAATACGGAAAAAATGAAAACAAATTATAATTGTATTTTAAATTATATTGTATGAAAATAAAAAATGACAACCACTGAAAATTAAAGTAGGTTTTGGTCTCGTAATCCGGGAAGATTAATGTAGGACCTAATATCGAGATCTGTCGTCAAATTCACGAAAGAATCCATACAAATACAAATTAGGAATTAAATCCCCTGGAATGAAATTCTCATTGAAGTAAAAATATTGGAAGACATTCAATTTGTTCACTTCAATAACTGAAAAAGCTCTTCGAGTGATTCTCTACTTTTTTTTATCTATATAATGGAATATTTTCTCTCTAGTTTTTAGCATTATTCCTCCACAATTTTTTTTTTTAATTTACTCTAATCAAATTTTTTCTATCATCTCATTTTAAATAAATTTGAGTCTTTTTATTCGTTGGAAACGTTTAAAAAATTTATTTTTATATTACATAATCTATAATTTTTAAATTTATGATTTATGAATTTAAAATTTTTAAATAATAAATCTTTATTATAAAATAAAATTAAAATCTCTTTAAAGTTTTAAACGTTTAAATAAACGAAATTTGTTTTTAGATCAATATTTTCAAAAATTACTTACAAAAATGATATAAATTGATTTAACTTAGAAATAATGTAAATTAAATATTTATATTTAGTTGTAAGATTTTTTTTTTAATACAAAAAATAATTTTTAGAATAAGACACAGATATTATCGTTTATTAAAACTTTAAACTTTAGAAACTGTAGTTCAGAAAAATTTTCTAATTGAAAAATGAAATACGAATTCTCTTTTTAAATTTGCAAAATATAAATTGAAATATTAATATTAATATTTTAATTTTGCTTAAATATTTTGTTTACTTTTTCTGTAGAAAAAATTATTTTATAGTATAATTTTAGTTACTTGTCGTCGAGGATTTAATAGCAGCAATTAAGGGGCGAAGAGAGTAAGGAGGGGAGGGTACGTCATGTGTATATCGAAATAGGGAGGAACAGTAAATTTATCCCTGTTGGTGGGCCGTTATTTTCTGCAACGATGCTTCACCGCAGCATCCAGTTGCATTGTCAGCGCATAAACCGTGCTATCGATTCAACTTGAATCGAGATTCGGTTTTCGTTTTCTATTAGAATTGTGTAAAGACCAAGAGTGAAACATGGAAAGAGAGAGAGAGAGAGAGAGTGAGAAACAAAACTCAATGCACGTACAAACAAATGTTATTTCTTTTTTTTTTGTCAATAAAATTCATTTCTCTATGGTGATGTTACAACAATTGAACAACAAAACAAAAAAAAAAGAGAACCAAAAAAATATGTGAAAAATCACTGCTGGATGGAACCAGACGTTGACAATCGTATTTTTCGATAGAATGAACGTTAATAAATTTCACTAACTCGAGGGTTAATCAAAGCAGAAATTGAATTTTACAAAACAACATGGGAAAAAATTAATATAATTGGCAAGACTTTTTGAAAAAGACAATTCAAAATAGTTGAAATCAGTTTTTATTGTTCTTTTCCTGACCTTTTGTTGTATTTTAACAAGGCAAATAAAAATGGTCTAAAATAAATATTTACAATTTTGCAAATGACTGCAATGCAAATTTTTAATTTTTTAAAATTCTACTTAAAATTATAAATTATCAAAATTTTGTCTGACTATATCCATAATTTACTACTTGCAGCAAAAGTAGGTGAATTTTTAACCTTTCGTCCGATTAAAAACTTAAAATGTATTTTACAACTAAAATCATAATTTTTGCGTAATTTACAGCTCCGTAAAATAAAAACAATTTTTTTTTGTCTGACTGAGACTGATTATTACTACTAATAAACACAATTTATTTAAATTAAACTCTTGGCTGACTAAAATTGACTTTTACTACTGATTATCAAGAAAACGAAACTAAAACTATGATTTTATAAATACTTAACCTTTCCTGGAAATAAAATAGGTTTTTCTGTCTGACTGAGACTGTTTTTTACTATTAATAAACACAATTTATTAAAATTAAACTCTTGGCTGACTAAAATCGACTTTTACTAGTGATTAACAAGAAAACGAAACTAGAATTATGGTCTTATACATACTTAACCGTTCCTGGAAATAAAAGAGGTTTTTTTGTCTATGACTGATACTGGTTTTTACTACTAATGAACAAAATTTATTAAAATTGAAACACTTAACTGATTAAAATTGATTTTTACTACCGATTAACAAGCAAAAGAAATGACAACTCCAATTTTTTAATTATATTTTATCTCTTCTATAAAAAATTTTTTGTCTGACGAAATCGTGTTTTTACTACTCATAAACAGTGTATATTCAAATTAAATCCTTGTCTGACTAAAATAAATTTGTACTACTGATAAGCAAGCAAAAGAAACTATAATTACGATTTTTCGAACCATTTTATTTTTTCTGTAAATAAAAAAATTTTTTCTGTCTGACTAAGACGGGTTTTTGCCACTAATGAACAAAAATGATTAAAATTAATTCTTGTCTAACTGAAATTGATTGTTAGTACTAATTTACATGAAAAAATAAATTTTTCTTCAAACATAAATAATTATTCTTTTCAACAGAGAGAAGTTTTTACTAGTAAATTAAAAAATATGGACATTCAAACATTGTCTGACTAAAATAGACTTTTACTACTGATTAATTGAGGAAATCAAATATTTTTTTTTTTCATGAAAAAGCATAAATTTTCTGTCCTACTAAGAGTGGTTTTGACTACTAAATTTTATATTTACAGGCATTAATTCGTTGTCTGACTGAACATGACTTTAACTACTTAAAAAAACATAAAGCAGATTTTTTTTTTGTTTAAAAAATTCTTTCCCTACTAGAATTATAATTTTGTGAATATTGTATCATTCCCAGAAAAAAAATTATTCTGCCTGACCGTGTTTGGTTTTTACTACTAATATCATAATTTCATGAAATTAAATCGTTTGTCTGACTAATATTGACCTTTACTACTGATTAACGCAGTAAACTATAATTTTAATTTAAGAAGAAATTTTTACTTTAAGAAATGTTTTTGTTTTCGTTTTACGATTTTTTGAACGTGCTTCGGAATGCGAAAATTAAACTTTGAGATAAATGTGGATCATAAAATTTACATATGCACAGTTGCACATTGTAAGCTGGCATAAGCACCAACATAAACACGGAAGCTTGTAATAGATTTCATTATCTCACTCCAACTTCATGTTCCAGTAGTTTAACTTTGGGATGTTCGAACAACACAATTAGACTCTCCAATGTGCTACCGCGTAACACGTTTTCAGTAATGACGAGTTATCAAACTGTCTAAAACTAAAACAGTAACTGAACATTTCATTTGCTGCATATATAAAATAACTTTTCATATAAAACAAAAT